GTTCCCAGATGCCCCCTGATGTTCCCTGATGTTACCCTAATGTTCCCTGATGTTACCAGATGCCCGCTGATGTTCCCAGATGTCCCCTAATGTTCCCTGATGTTCTGAGATGCCCGCTGATGTTCCCAGATGTCCCCTGATGTTCACCTGATGTTCCCAGATACCCCCTGATTTTCCCCTGATGTTCCCTGATGTTCACCTGATGTTCCCTAATGTTCCCAGATGCCCCCTGATGTTCCCTGATGTTCCCCTGATGTTCCCAGATACCCCCTGATGTTCCCTTGATGTCCCCTGATGTTCCCCTGATGTTCCCTGATGTTACCCTAATGTTCCCTGATGTTACCAGATGCCCCCTGATGTTCCCAGATGCCCCCTGATGTTCCCAGATGCCCCCTGATGTTCCAGCAGCAACAATCGATGGCTGTGATTGGCTACAGGATGTAAACCTTGTTGATCTGAAGCTCAAGTGGTTAAAAATACATTTTCTGCTCATTATTTAGGATTTAATTATATTCAAGTTTCTGTTCTCAGATTTAAAAAAACAGTTGAAAACTGAATCATTAAAAAATGTTTTAGTTTGATTTTCTATCATGAACTCAATCTTTTTGTGAGTTGAAAACCAAACAACCCCTTTTACAAAGAGCCATTCTGCAGCCTGCAGGTTCGCTGTGAGATATTGCAGCAGTGAAATGTGTTTGTGCTGCAGGTGGAGGTGTGTCGGTGTTTTACCTGCGCTGAGCTCATCCAGCAGAGCCTGGTGCCCAGCAGGGCCAGAGGCAGCAGCTCCCACAGCTTCATGCTGACCGTCGATGCCGACGCTCCGTCTTCCTGCCCAACGCGCCACAAATGGGGGAAATTTTCCAGACGGCAGCCTTTTATGGCGCGGCGTTCACCTGATACCCGTTTCCAGGTCTCAGTCTCCTCCCCACCGAATGCAAAACGTCCCACCGGGCCGGATGAAATCCATCACACCTGGACTCACCTGGAGCCGCCGCCTCCTCTTACGGAAAACATTTTATTGGAAAATAAAGTCGTGCAGCACAACGACAACCCAGAAACCAACATGCAGGTTTACTGTTGGGCTGAGGAGAGAGTTTTAGTTTTAAATACGATTATAAAGTCAGAATATCACAAGAATAAATTATTTATGAGAACTTTTATTCAAAAACTTAACAATGAAAAAGAGGAAACTTTAGCATAGTTTGGTATCAGTTTTACAAATAAGGAAATTCCAACTGCAAGAAAGTGCAAACAGTGAAAGAAATATTTACAATAATATTTATTTTACAAGTAAGGAAATAAGGACATTTTTCATCTTTTGTCTATCAGTGGATTAAAAGTTTTAATCAAGCTACTTTCAGGGTTTATTATTAATCAATCACATTTTTATCAGAAATAATTTATCACCAAAATAAGCAACGTTTTAAATTCAACATTAGATGAATAAACAATCCTGAGCTCTAACAGTTTCATAGTTTTTAATCTTTCCTGAGGTTTGGAGCAAAGCGTCGCTCTGAGTTCAGTCTGGAAGGAGGAACTGGTCATCAAACGGACTTAGGCTGAAATCAGGAAAACTGAATTTAAGCTGTGAAATCCTGAAAAGATCTGATTTTAATGTTTGATAAATAGGCTGAGCAGCTGAAGGATCTCAGACTAAATATTTTACACCCAGGAAATAAATCCTGTCTGATTAATCTGGACCAGGTTTGATTTTAATGTGAAACATCTGAAATGTTTCTGGATTCAGCAAATTCAGACAGATTTTATGAGTAAAGCTTTAATAATGCGGAGCCGGGTTTCCTGTTTGAATGTGGAAGTTTGTCCAGGCGGTTTAATCCTGCCTGTCCTCTGCACAAAGAACACCAGCAGGATTTGCATGTGTTGTTCTTTAAGTAAAAGCTGTTTTCCTTTTAAAATCAGGATGTAAATCAGGATCAGGGTTTAGTTTTCCATCAGCTGCAGCGAAGCGGAGCGGCCGGTTGGACTTTCAGTTCAGGAAAAACATGAGCAGAACCGGTTAACGTTTTGTTGCTCATAGAAACAGAAGTTCAGATCATTTCTGATGGATGAGAGGAGAGCTCAGCCTGCAGCACGTCACCGCTGAACCGAGAAGGTCCAGGTTCAGGTGTGAGCAGCGCGCTGCAGCAGCATGCAGGCCGCAGCCAGCAGCAGCTGCTGCAGCCTGCGGCCTGCAGACACGCAGCCCGACCCCGCCGTGGGGGGGGCAGAGGTCAGACGGGGCGCACTGCCGCCGTCGCCGGGGGGGCTCTGGCTGGGAGCCGTCGGGGTCCGGGTCATCGCAGAGGGCTGGACGTCCGTATGGGGGCCGGCGGTGACGGAGGGGTGGGTGGAGGAGTCGGGGGGGGTACTGCTGGGGCTGCTGCTGCCGCCGGGGGACGTACCGGCCTCCGAGGAGGGAATACCGGCCTCCGAGGTGGGAATACCAGCCTCCGAGGTGGGAATACCGGCCTCCGAGGTGGGAATACCGGCCTCCGAAGGGGGAATACCGGCCTCCGAGGTGGGAATACCGGCCTCCGAGGTGGGAATACCGGCCTCCGAGGGGGACGTACTGGCCTCCGAGGGGGACATACCGGCCTCCGAGGTGGGAATACCGGCCTCCGAGGTGGGAATACCGGCCTCCGAGGTGGGAATACCGGCCTCCGAAGGGGGAATACTGGCCTCCGAGGGGGAGGGTGACCAGCTGAACTGCAGCGTGGTCGCATTAGTCCCTGTGATGTTTGAGGTCCTGGTGGTCTCCATGTCGACAGTGGAGGAGGTGGAGGTCTCAGCCTGGAGGGGGAGAAGGGGCAGGGTGAGAACCGACCTGCACCTGGAATACCTGGAACACCTGGAACACTGCAGCTCAAAGATCTGACAACTAAAATAATCTGGAACAAACTTCCAGAAAACTGCAAAACTGCCAAAACAATATCGGTATCACTTTATTTGACGGGGTGAGCATAAGACTGACATGACCCGTCATAAACATGACATAACATCTGGCATGAACATAAAGAAGTCCTTATGAATGTTTATGACTGTTGTTATGAAGTGTCATTCAGTAAATAATGACACATTTAATGCAAAATTGCTCTAAAAGTTGAATTGAAAGTCCATTAAAAGTGCCAACTTTGCATGATTTGGTAAATAATGACAATTTAATGCAACGTTGGCATTTTTAATAAACTTTCAATTCAACTTTTAGAGCAACTTTGCATTAAATGTGTCATTATTTACTGAATGACACTTCATGACAACAGTCATAAACATTCATAAAGACTTTATGTTCATGACAGGCGTTATGTCAGTCTTATGCTCACCCCGTCAAATAAAGTGTTAACACAATATTTAGTTTAAATATATATATTTAGTCTGTTAACTAAATATTTTAGTTTGGCAACTAAATAATGAAAACAACTGAATTGGTAAAATGTTTCTCTCCTGTCTCATAATCGGTTCCTGTGTCGTGTTTTGTGCTGAAATAAACAAATAAACTCGACTTGATTTGGGTCAGAACCAGAGAACAACCAGAACTTCCTGCCTGAGCCTTCAGGCCACGATCTGTGTGTGTGTGTGTGTGTGTGCATGTGTGCATGTGTGTGTGTGTGTGTGTGCATGAGTGTGTGTATGCAAAGGAGAAGCATCAGCTGTTCCATGAGCCATGAACATATTAGTGGACTTTGCATGCGGCTGCGCTCACTGATCTGCGTTTCCTGCAGACGTCATCCTGTGTCTGCTTCAATCTTAGCGTCTGCTTCGTGTTTTTCCTCCAGATCTTCTCCTGCTGCCCTGCAGGAGCGTCTCCGGCCTGAGCACTGCTCTTCTACAGCAGGGGCCCCCTGGGCCACATCGGGCCCCATGTCGGGCGTCACGTTGGCGCCAATTTGTCAGGAGCCACAATAGTAACACAAATTACTCATCACAGGACTCGTTTCTGTCTGATTTATTGTAACTCGTCTGTTTTACAGTGCAGGCTCTATGATCAGCCTTTCATACTTTTATATTAAACCTGTCTTATGACGTGTGTGTGATTTTATACACTGCAAAACAAAATCATCTTTGGTCTAGTTTCTAGTCTCAATATTTTAGTTACTTTCTTAGCGAGATATGGCAGCTTGTTCAGATCCTTAACATTTCATTTTTCCTCAACACGAATAATAAAAAAGTCCTGAAGTCCTTCTGAGGTCAGATTGATGCGACACTTCAATCCGATCAAAACACATCCAGAATAAAACTATTACCCTCCTCCACCAGCAGGTGTCAGACTTTCCTGCTCAACCAGAACCTGAACATGACCTCTGACCCTGCAGACCCTGAACTGTCTCCATCTGGTCTCCATCTCTCATCACTGTGAGTCTTCATTAATATACCAGTTATTCCAGTAAAACTGAGGCAAACCATCGTTTCCCATGATGCCTCTGTGAAACGCCATCATGGCTGCAGTTCATGTAAATCTGCTGGACGCTTATCTTACCAGAACCAGAACCAGATTCCTCCTCTGATCTGATTGGGTTTATTTCCCGGCTGAAGCAGAATCTTCCCAGAGGCCAGCGGGTCGTTCACTGGTTCTACTGGTTCTGATTACTGGTTCTGCCTGATTGGATCTGGGATTATCTGACTGGACCCAACCCGTCGATAACTTTACTGTTTGTAACTAAATATTTAATTTGACATTAAATATCTGTTGGTATTTCTGCTTGTTCACTAAATATTTTGTTTAAAGTTTTTTTAACTAAATTTTATTGTGAGCTGTGACATTTATAACTGAATGGATAAGATGGTTAAAATCTGATTTTGAAAAATTTACTTTTGTTGTTTTTCTTATGAAAAACTGAATAACTAAAATTGTTGCTGTTGATTTTTTATAGTGTAGCTTCATAAACTCAAACTGGATCTGTTTATATCCGACTTGCGGGGAGTCACGTTCTGGTCTGTGACCGTCTACCGGTGACGGTCCAGTTAAAGTCCAGGCTACGCCCAGCAGAACCGGGCTGCGGGCAGGCTAACAGACCCGGTCACGGCCGACCCGTCAGAACCTGAAACCATAAAAGCCGGAGCAGCTGCAGCCGGCGCTGCATGGAAATCCGCTTTTCTCTGCATTTGAATGTCACCATGCTTAAGCTGCTGAACCAAATGCCGCGTCTGTTCTGGTTCCTGTGGGCCGGCCCGTTCTGCTTCCTTACCTGAGTGCATCTCAGGAACACGACGACCAGAACCAGCACCTGAAATCGCTCCATCCTGCCCGGTTCGTCCGTGTGTCTGTCCCCTCCTCTCAGTCTGCCGTTTTATACCAGAGCGCCGCCGCAGCGAGGCGATAACAGCTGATAACACTTCTGCTCTCACAGACTCAACTTCCTGCAGGAGAAATGACCCAGAACCCTGGTTCTGTTCATGAAACAGAACCTGGCACTTCACCGACCCGATTCAGACTGAAGGTCTGAACCATGAAACCTCTGAACCCCTTAAACACAGATTAACATGAACCTGCAGCAGACGTGAATAAAAACAGGCAGAAAATCATAAAAATCAGCCAGAAATGAAACATTCAGAGAGAAAAAGCAGCTAAAACATCGAACTGCAAAATAAAACAAGAGATTGTTTCTGGAGATGACAGGATGAGGCGTCACTCTGCTGCCAAACCCAGAGAACAGAACAATATAGAACAATATAGAACAGAACAATATAGAATAATATAGAACAGAACAATATAGAACAGAACAATATAGAATAATATAGAACAGAACAATATAGAATAGAAATGGTCTTTTCTCTATTGCACACTATCAGGTATAAATATTCACACAATAAATATCTTAATGAGTTAAAAACAATGTATGAAAAATAAGATAAATAATGATAGTAACAATAATATTCTGTGCAGTTATTAGAAATAATATCAGAGTCAAAGGGAAACGTGAATCAAACCACTTTTCCCAAAATGTATATAAAATTTATATTGAACATTAAAAATGGTAGTTTATACGACTCAGCTCAGGCTGGATTATTACTCATGTTTGGTAAAGGGTCAGGTTTAGGTGAGGGTGCAGTAACAGGATGGCTGTTTATCTGGAGCTGCAGGGAAATTAGCTGAATGCTGTGGTTTTATTTTTGGTTTATGGATCAGAAATTTGATGTTTTTCCTCTCAGCTCTTTTGTTTCCACTCTGAACACATTTTCTATTTACTTTAAATGTAAAAAATAAAAAAAACCTTCTGGATTGAAACATTAATTTTGTTTTCTTGAGGATTTTTTTTTCCTTGAAAGAGAAAATAAAAAAATTGTGATGCAAAATTTTTGATCACGTGTTTTTCTATTGCATATTTTCACTATAAAACATTTATGTCTGTCATTTCAAAAAAACAACAGGAAAATGTTCCACAAGGAGAATAACAACTTTTACATATTTTAATATAATTTTTTTTGTTTGTTTTTACTCAAGACTTCTAAAGTCAAAAGAAAAAGAGGATTTAATCAGACAGCAAACTGTCTTTCCTCCACCAAACTTTCTCTCCCAGTTTGAACCAACTTGAATTAGTCTGGGTCCATGAGGAAACCAGCAGAGGAGACGACAAATCAGCTGAAACTGGGAGGAAACCACAGAAACCAGCAGCTATGAGCTGATAACACTGGCATCCTGGTCAGACTGGTGGTTTTCCTGGAGTTAAGCTGCCGAACGCTTCGTGCTTCAGATAAACTCGGCTTTTCTTTTCCGATTTGAGGCGAAACTGGAACTTTATCTGGGGAACAATTTTATCTCCTCAAAAATTAATCAACTGCTTCCTGCCTGCTGCTCCTGCAGGGTTTAGTTTCAGGCCGGAGCTCCAGGTCAGGCTGTGCCGGCCTCGCCTAAAGGTCAGAGGTCACAGAAACAGAGGTTGGGAGGAGAAGAGCCAGTTGGTAGTTCTGCTCCGGGACACAAGCGGCTCTTTGTGGCGTTTATCAGCTGCTGCACGTTTCCTGCTGCGCCGCAGATAACGCTGCAGGCCCAGTCCGCCCTGCAGCGCGCTGGTTTCACTGGTTTAGTTGCCATGTTAACACTAAACAGCGCAGAGAGGAAGCAGCAGCCTTTTTATTTAATCCGTTCATTTAATTGTTTTCTTCGGTGTTTGGATGCTGGACGTTCCCATTTGTTTTTTATTTAATCCTCTTTAATCTCAGCTGAACTCTTTCACTTCCTGCTGATCCGCCTCAGCGTTTCCTCATCGCAGGCCCGACATTTGGTTTTATGACACTTTCGTCTCTTTTATGGGATGTTTATCTCATTTCATCAGAACTGATCTGAGCTTTCATGTTGTGAATAATTTTCAACAGAAACATTTAAAGCCAAAACATAACAGATAACATCCAGTTTTAAAGAATCAAATTCAGCGCCAACATCATAGCAACCCCATAATTTTTAATAAAAATTTAGAAAAATTGCTAGTGGGAATTAAAATGTTCAATGGAGTTCATGACAGGATCTGTAATTAATTAATTGCATTTTAATAAAATAAAAAGATTTTTAATTCAGAAATCCTTTTTATGGTCATATGAGCTCGACACTGATTTTTATATATTTTTTTTAATCTTTTTTTTGGATTGGAATGAAGTTAGAAACTGTCATTGACAGTTTCTAACTATCATGTTGTTTAGCATTGATATGCTATTTTAGCCTAGCATAGCTGATAGGCTAACTGCTTTTAGCACAGCTTGAACATGACAGTCTTTTCCAGTGTCAGTCAATCAATCACTTTATTTTGGTAAATTGTCCACATTAAACACAGGAAAGAACAAAAAATAAATAAACCCATAATTTACCAAAAAAGCAACAGGCTGAAGCCAAGCTTATTCTTGCTGCCCTATTTCATACCCAACAACCCACCAAGATATCTTCACAATGCATATATAAATCTACATAACGGTGTAAGATGTTGTCATTTTACATTTTAGAGCTCTTTTAAAGCTCACCAAGAAAGGACAAAACTTAAAATCATCATTCAATTCATTCCACAGTTTCACACCAATCACTGAAACACATCTAGATTTTACCTGGCTCTTCTTCTGCACATTCAAATATAAACAAACCTCGCAAATTATTTTTATTCTCTTCCAATTTAAATCATTTCTGAATACCAGAAGGAAGGATTTGTTCAATGCTTTATACATTATTGCCAGTATTTTTATCTAAACAATATCTTTAAATTTTAATATATTACTTTGAAAGAAGAGTTTATCAGTTGGTTCATGGTCTCCCACCTTATTAATAATGTCAAGATCCGTGTTATTGTGTGTTTATTTTTGAGTTTTTCTATGTTTTCCTGTTTCCCTGTGAGTCTCTGTCCTGTCCTCCCCGTTGATTGCTCCCCAGGTGTGTCTCATTTCCTTAATTACCCCGTGTGTATTTAAACCCACCTGTTGTCTGTGTTTCTCGTCGGATCCTCGTCGTGTCTAAGTTTGTCGTTGTCTATCGTGTCTATTGCTTTCCAGTAGAACTGTACAGTCCTGGTTTGCTAAGCTCAAGATTCACATTGTCAGTTGCTACCGGTTGTTAGCTGTGAGCTAATTGTTCCTGCCGTGCTGCCTGACTGGACCGTGTTGAGCCACTTCATTAAATCATCTTTTCACCATAACCTGGGTCTCAGCGTTCACTCCTCACCACCTACCTCACCACCTCATGACAAATAAGCCTTATAGCTTTTTTGCAACTTAAATAAATCAATATTTGTTTTACTTGCATTTCCCCAGATTTCTGAGCAATAAGTACACTATGCCCGCCACTTGGTTATGTCGTTCCATGTACGCTTTCCCTGCCAGCATCTTGCACCCTGCTGCTATGTGCTGGACTGTCTCAGAGGCCTCCTTGCACAACCTACACCTTGGGTCTTGTCTGGTGTGGTAGATCTGAGCTTCTATTGCTCTGGTGTTTAGGGCCTGTTCCTGGGCGGCCAGGATGAGGGCCTCTGTGCTGTCCTTGAGTCCAGCTTTTTCCAGCCATTGGTAGGATTTCCTGATATCAGCCACTTCAGTTATTTGTTGGTGTCACATCCCATGTAGGGGCTTGTCCTCCCATGATGATGGTTCCTCCAGCACCTTGTCCTCTGTTCCCCATTGCCTGAGACATTCGCTGAGCACATCGTCCGTTGAGTCTTTGTCCCTGATGTATTTATGGATCTTGGATGTTTCATCCTGGACAGTGGCTCTCACACTCACTAGTCCTCTGCCTCCTTCCTTACGGCTCGTGTACAGTCTCAGGGGGCTGGATTTAGGGTGGAACCCTCCCTGCATGGTTAGTAGCTTCCGAGTCTTAACATCCGTGGCCTTCATCTCTTCCATTGGCCAGCTAATTATTCCGGCAGGGTATCTTCTCAGGACTTGCCTTATTCGTTGGAGGTATTTGGCTGTGGCTCCTTTCCTTGTGACCTCATCGAGGTTGCCATCTGCTTACTTGTAGCTGTGCTCTATGTCTGCTATTGTTCCTTCTGGGAGTGATACCCCTTCTGTGTGGACGAGTCCGACTAGTCCGAATGACATCCCAATGTCAGTGCTGTAGATCCTGGTGGTGTGGATCAGTGAGTCGATGTCTCGCTCGCTCTTGGCGTACAGCTTGATGTCATCCATGTAGAGGAGGTGACTGATTGTGGCCCCATTCTTAAGTCGGTATCCGTAGCCAGTCTTGTTGATGATTTGGCTGAGGGGGTTCAGGCCTATGCCTTTTTTTTTTTCAGCCAAAATATATATATATATATATATATATGTGTGTGTGTGTGTGTGTATATATATATATATATATACACACACACA